TTTTTTTAGGATATTTAGCTAAAACTTGCTAGAGTAAGTCATAAGCATGTGTTCTATCACATATATTCCGGTTTTTTCGAAGAGTCAAAAAGTTGTTGAAAAAATATAAAAATATAAATTCTGAATTTTATTTTGTATAATTTTCAAAATTTTCAAAATTTTGAAATTCCGAGATGGCAGTTTGATAGGGCAGTTTATTCTGAGTCCTCCATGCAAAGATATTGGATCTAGCTTAAAAACTGAGCTCTTGGGAGCGATTGCCGTGGTTCAATGTTTTGCGTCGAAATCGGTCTAAAATGACGTCACTCTGACGTCCTTTTCGGCCGACCTATGGCAGCTACGAAGTTCATATGTTGACACAAGGTGTCAAATTAATGCAGCCGAAGGTACTGAAAGTTTGGCGTCGATACGTCAAGCGGTTTGGAAGTTATTGCAGAAAAACGGGAGGGGGGCTATGAATAGCCCCCCAGTGGGGCGCTTGTAAGGGGATGTTCCGAAAGACCCCCGGCCACGCGCGGTTGGCGCTGAGCACCGGCCCGGCGCGGTTTGAGGAGTTTTAACGGTTCCTGATTTTTCCAACTTTAAAATCATTGACCAGACCTGGGAGGTCAAACGATGACCTAAGAGCTTACAGTATGGTATCATCGGCTTTCGCTCGTCACGGGCAGCACGCTCATTTTTTCCGCGAAGATCCAGCTCTGTATGTATCGTGTCAGACATTGCGATATTTATTCACTTTCGATGATAACAAAAAAGCAAATATTCTAAATAGCCAGACGTTTCGGCCTCAGGGTGCCTTCGTCAGTGACAATACCGAGATACTAATACATTAATAAATTATCAATATACCTAATCTTTTACACTTTCAAAATACGCATGACCTGGACATTTTTCAACCATATTCTGCACATGAGACTCGAGATTATAAAAAACTAAATATACATTTTTGACACGTTTAACTTTTAAACCATGACCTTTCGATAAGATGATAATTGATATGCTACACTTCTTTTTCTCTTATACAAAGATACACAGCACAATTGTCGGGCATAACTGTTATCAGATGTCGTTCAGTCGCATTCTTCCTTTCGAGATTCATTCTTAACCCGCGCCCTGCTGGGGGGGGGTGTTTGAACACCCCCCCCTTGTGGTTTTTCGCGAATATCTCAAAAACGGCGGCGCGGAGCGCCGCCGTTTTTGGTACACCTTATCATACATCAATTCTACACATGTTGTGAAAATTTCAGACCAAGGTCATTCAAGGTCAGGTCACCAGGTCACTTGAAGTGACCTCACCTCATAAAAAGTTTCAATGTCTGTCATAGCTACACCGAGTGACCGATCACTTTGAAACTTTCAGCGATTGCTAAGAGCAATAGCATGTACAAAATGTATATCTCAGAATTTTGATATCGATGACCTAAGGTCAGGTCAATTTTGCGACCTCCCCATTATAAGTCAATGGGAGAAAATTGAAATGCGCCTCTTTTGGACAAAAGACATTATAAACACTCCCAAACACCGAATTACAAGTGATTTAGACACACTGAACATGAAAATGGTGTCCGTGACCCTTGTTTATGCCCTGAGGTCATCTTAGGTCACGAATGGTATCTCACAGTTTTTCGCAAATAACTTTTGATAGAGGCATACTAGAGCGATGAAAACGCCTTAGATGTGTTCAGCTCGACGATACGGATCGAATGATATGCAACATGACCCTTTCCGGTCAGGTCATGACCTTGACCTGAGGTCAAATTTTCAAGTTGACCTTTCAAGGTCAACTTATAGTTCATTCGATGCGTCTTGACGAGAGGAACACATTGCCGGTAAAAGTAAGCTCGTACAAGGCTTGGGTCAAAAGTTATTGCAGAAAAACTGTTTCCGAAAAAATCGGCTATTTTTGCAGTTTTTGCCTCCTGCAGGCAAAACCGTTGACGTTAGGTCAAATCTGAGAGAATTACTCAGAAAGGGCTTTAATAGAGCTATCGAATGCGCTTTTCCGCGGCGCTGTAGCTCTATTGGTTCTCGAGTTATGCGTTGGCTTCTTGGGAATTTTCGACATTCGACCTGGAAATCGGCGAAATTTTGCCTTCAATGACCTCTGGTGACCTGACCTTTGACCTGACCAAAAAATTGACCGAAGTGATTTCGTCATTAATTTTGACGCTCTTTCGAACGCCGCCTTCCGCGTATCGCTACGTGGCCCAGGAGCCGAGTTACAAGGGGGGGTGTTCAAACACCCCCCCCCCCCCCAGCAGGGCGTGGAAATCCAGGACCCCCAGCCGGGCGCGGGTTAAATGTTTCTTTTTTTTCTTCTTCATTTTCTTCTCCTTTTCGTTTTCCTTTCTACGTTTTCTTAGTTTTCTTTAACACCATTTTGGCTCCGGATTTTGCCCATGTAAAGAAGCCCGGCTTCTCATTCACTGTGTTTTCCAAAGAGATGTGAGCTGCTTCCAAAGCCTTTCGTATTGATTTGGACATTCCTTTTTCTATGACCTCAGCCTGGTTCCAGTTCGGTAAAGTTTCACATGTTTCGATGCGTAAGACCATTGCATTTGAACGATTGTGATTTCTTACGTCGCGCTTGTGTTCTTTGAGTCTTGTTTCTAAACCTCTTCCAGTTGCTCCTATGTACGACTTATTGCAAGCTCCCGAGCAGGGAATTTTGTACACTACACTTTCTTCATTTGTTATTTCACGTTTTCGTCGAGTCAAATTCGCAATTTTTCTACCAGAGACTACTGCTACGTTCGCTCCGATGTCACGAAGCTGGTTCGATATCGAGTCGGCATGTTTCGAGTGAGGTATAGATATAAATCGTCCTCATTTCTTTTCTTCTTGTTTTCGTTTTTTCTTTTCTTCCGCACTTCGTTTCCATATTTCTTCTGCTTTCTTTTTTGCCCTAATAATGAAGCCTTTTGGATACTGTAACTTTTCAAACGTATCAAAGATACCGTAAGGTGGGGCTATTTGAGACAGTGGGGCTATTTGAGACAGTATTTAAAATTACTATAAAATAAAAACCACTTAAAATTTATGCTTAATTTTTTGCTCAGGCGATTTACTGCTCGATTCCACACCTCCCTGAGCAAAAATATCACACAAAAATCAAACGATCTTCATTTTATAACGATTTTAAATACTGTCTCAAATAGCCCCACTGTCTCAAATAGCCCCACTTTACGGTATGTCTAGTCTCTTCTGTTAGAAAGTCGTCACTGCAAATCCGGAAAGCTCGTAAGAAAAATCCAATCACTATACCACTTTTTATGCGCTCACTATGACCCGATAAATAGTGTACGTAATCTTCCTTGTTCGTTGGTTTGCGGTACACTGAAAATTTTACCCCACTTCCACATCTCATTATGAGTGTGTCCAGAAAAGGTATTTTTCTGTCGTTTTCTCGTTCGATCGTAAATTGAATTTTCTCTTCCACCTGATTGAGGTTTCGTAGTTTTTCGTTCGTGCATCGGATCGAACGTAGCAGTAGTCTCTGGTAGAAAAATTGCGAATTTGACTCGACGAAAACGTGAAATAACAAATGAAGAAAGTGTAGTGTACAAAATTCCCTGCTCGGGAGCTTGCAATAAGTCGTACATAGGAGAAACTGGAAGAGGTTTAGAAACAAGACTCAAAGAACATAAGCGCGACGTAAGAAATCACAATCGTTCAAATGCAATGGTCTTACACCACATCGAAACATGTGAAACTTTACCGAACTGGAACCAGGCTGAGGTCATAGAAAAAGGAATGTCCAAATCAATACGAAAGGCTTTGGAAGCAGCTCACATCTCTTTGGAAAACACAGTGAATGAGAAGCCGGGCTTCTTTACATGGGCAAAATCCGGAGCCAAAATGGCGTTAAAGAAAACTAAGAAAACGTAGAAAGGAAAACGAAAAGGAGAAGAAAAGGAAAAAGAAAAAAAGAAACATTTAAGAATGAATCTCGAAAGGAAGAATACGACTGAACGACATCTGATAACAGTTATGCCCGACAATTGTGCTGTGTATGTTTGTATAAGAGAAAAAGAAGTGTAGCATATCAATTATGATCTTATCGAAAGGTCATGCTTTAAAAGTTGAACGTGTCAAAAATGTATATTTAGTTTTTATCAAGTTTTTATAATCTCGAGTCTCATGTGCAGAATATGGTTGAAAAATGTCCAGGTCATGCGTATTTTGAAAGTGTAAAAGATTATATTGATAATTTATTAATGTATTAGTATCTCGGTATTGTCACTGACGAAGGCACCCTGAGGCCGAAACGTCTGGCTGTTTAGAATATTTGCTTTTGTTTTATCATCGAAAGTGAATAAACAAGATCCAGCTCGATCAGCGTCCAACAGCTGGGGGTGCAGCGGATACCCCCCCCCCCCCCACACACACACATACAAGTTAGTTGCCGGGAAAACGCCAGTACATGTGAGGGTTAATAATGTATTTAATATGAGGAAAAGCATGTCATAACACTCTAACAATCATCACCTGTAAATACATGTCATATTCTCAATATTATATCGAAAAATCAATCACACGGTTAGCATTTCCTTCTGCAAAATGCATTTCTCGCTGGATGCAAAAAAAAAAAACACATTTGTGTTTCTGATCACCATCAACAATATATTTACAAATTTAGGATATTTTGAGAAAACAAAACCAAATGAAAATTTACATGCCTACATAACATAACAATACAACAACGGAGTACCTAACTAAACACAAAATACGCGCACGAATAGGTGAATGTGTGCGTGTGTGAATGTGTATGTGTATGTGCTCGTGTCCAGCTGTGTGAGCCTTTTCACTTGTAAGGCCACATAGTTGCCATTGATACAACAAATATAAACATAAATCCGCCTGACATATTAGCACGAAAAACAAAACCTTAAAACTTCTAAAATTGAGCATCAATGAAAAAAAAAACAACTACATATTCTGTAATATATTATATTATACCAGTTGCTTATAGCGTGGGTCGCTCACCCCACATGGGTCGACTAGTCGCTCAGGTAGGCGCGTGGGATCAGCTGTCCCTGGCTGAAGGCCGGGTACCGGCGCACGCGGAAATTCTGCGCCTCGGCGATGGGCTCCAGCCAGCGGCGGGCCACGGGGCGCGAGGTGGCGGCGCCGCGCCGCTCGGCCGGCGGCCAGCCGCCCAGCGGCCGCTCGGCCAGCTCCAGGTCGCCGAACGCCGCGTTATCCCGGCCACCGACCGGGGAGCGGGCCGGCCGCGGCCGCCGGGCCGCCGGCGCTCCCGGCCGGCGCGAGGCGCGCACGCCGATGACGGCCACCGCGACGACGGCGCCCAGCACCAGCAGGCAGCCGAGCGTCATCAGCACCACCATGAACGGAGAGCTCAGCGCCAGGCCAGACCGGGGGTCCAGGATGTCGTCGATGACGACCTCGGCCGGCGCTACGTGCGTGCGCGCGCTGTCGGCCATGTCAGTGAGCTGGGCAACTTCGGGGCCTGTGAGGCTGTTGAGCTCGCCCCTGTCGGCACAATGCAGCGCCGACCCGAGCTCGTCGTTACTCTCCTGCAGCGCCGCCAGGGTAGCCGGAGTGAACTCCTGCGCGGCCACCAGGTCCAGAGCGTTGGTGGCATCCACCAGAGTAGTGGGCAGCTCTTCTTGTACAGAACTACAGTTGCTATCATTGCCAGAAGGTAGTGATGATGCTTTGTAAAGAAGAAGTGGACTGTGGCCAAATGAACTGTTCCCATTGTAATGCACATTGGTGGTGGCGTTTGCAGTAGTGGCTGGATGAGCAGTTGTTGCGTTGGTTATTGTAATTTCGGGAATGCTTTGCTCTGTAGTGGTTGCCGCAATGGTCATTGACTCGGTAGTGTCGGTACTGGTTACCTCAGAAGTACCTTTTTCGGTAGCTGTCACTTCAGTAGAAGTCTTAGGTACTGTGCTGGATTTTCCAGCAGTGGTTGGTTCTGTAGTGGTTAATTCGGTGGTGGTTGGTTCGGTGGTGGTTGGTCCTGTGCTGTTTGTTCCAGAAGTGGTTGGTTCGGTGGATGGTTCGGTGGTGGTTGCTTCGGTTGTGGCTGGACCTGTGCTGGTTGTTCCAGACGTAGTTGGTTCGGAGGTGGTTTGTTCTGTGGTGGCTGTTTCGGTTGTAGTTGGTCCTGTGCTGGTTGCTCCAGATGTGGTTGTTTCAGTGGTGGCTGGTTCGGTGGTCGTTTGCTCAGTGGTGGGTCCTGTGCTGGTTGTTCCAGAAGTACTTGGCTCGGTGGTGGTTGGTTCACTGGTGGTTGTTCCGGAGGTGGTTGGTTCGGTGGTGGCTGCTTCGGTTGTGGTTGGTACGGTGGTGATTGGTTCAATAGTGGTTGTTCCAGAGGTGGCTGGTTCGGTGGTCGTTTGCTCAGTGGTGGGTACTGTGCTGGTTGTTCCAGAAGTACTTGGTTCGGTGGTGGTTGGTCCAGCAGTAGTTGTTCCAGAAGTGGTTGTTTCAGTGGTGGTTGGTTCACTGGTGGTTGTTCCGGAAGTGGTTGGTTCGGTGGTGGCTGCTTCGGTTGTGGTTGGTTCGGTGGTGGTTGTTTCAGAGGTGGCTGGTTCGGTGGTGGTTTGCTCAGTGGTGGGTCCTGTGCTGGTTGTTCCAGAAGTACTTGGTTCAGTGGTGGTTGGTCCAGTGGTGGTTGTCCCAGAAGTGGTTGCTTCGGTGGTGGTTATTTCGGTGGTGGATACTTCGGTTGTGGTTGTTTCGGTGGTGGTTGGTTCGGTGGTGGTTGTTCTAGAACTGGTTGATTCGATGGTGGTTGCTTCACTGCTGGTTGTTCCAGAAGTGGTTGGTTCGGTGGTGGTTGCTTCGGTTGTGGTTGATCCGTTGGTGGTTGTTACAGAGGTGGCTGGTTCGGTGGTGGTTTGCTCAGTGGTGGGTCCTGTGCTGGTTGTTCCAGAAGTACTTGGTTCAGTGGTGGTTGGTCCAGTGGTGGTTGTCCCAGAAGTAGTTGCCGCGGTGGTGGTTGGTCCGGTGGTGGTTGGTTCAGTGATGGTTGGTTCGGTGGTGGTTGTTCTAGAAGTGGTTGATTCGATGGTGGTTGCTTCACTGCTGGCTGACCCAGAAGTGGTTGGTTCGGATGTGGTTTCCTCAGTGGTGGTTGGTCCTGTGCTGGCTGTTCCAGAAGTCGTTGGTTCTGTGGTTGTATCTGTAGTGGTTGGTTCGGTGGTGATTGGTTCAGTGGTGGTTTTACCAGAAGTGGTTGGTTCGGTGGTTGTTGCTCCAGGTGTGGTTGATTCGGTGGTGGTTGCTTCGGTTGTGGTTGGTCCAGTGGTAGTTGGTCCGGTGCTGGTTGTTCCAGATGTGCTTGTTTCGGCGGTGGTTGGTTTACTGGTGGTCGTTTCGGAAGTGGTTGGTTTGGTGGTGGTTGCTTCGGTTGTGGTTGGTTCGGTGGTGGTTGTTCCAGAGGTGGCTGGTTCGGTGGTCGTTTGCTCAGTGGTGGGTCCTGTGCTGGTTGTTCCAGAAGTACTTGGCTCGGTGGTGGTTGGTCCAGCAGTAGTTGTTCCAGAAGTGGTTGTTTCAGTGGTGGTTGGTTCACTGGTGGTTGTTCCGGAAGTGGTTGGTTCGGTGGTGGCTGCTTCGGTTGTGGTTGGTTCGGTGGTGGTTGTTTCAGAGGTGGCTGGTTCGGTGGTGGTTTGCTCAGTGGTGGGTCCTGTGCTGGTTGTTCCAGAAGTACTTGGCTCGGTGGTGGTTGGTTCACTGGTGGTTGTTCCGGAGGTGGTTGGTTCGGTGGTGGCTGCTTCGGTTGTGGTTGGTACGGTGGTGATTGGTTCAATAGTGGTTGTTCCAGAGGTGGCTGGTTCGGTGGTCGTTTGCTCAGTGGTGGGTACTGTGCTGGTTGTTCCAGAAGTACTTGGTTCGGTGGTGGTTGGTCCAGCAGTAGTTGTTCCAGAAGTGGTTGTTTCAGTGGTGGTTGGTTCACTGGTGGTTGTTCCGGAAGTGGTTGGTTCGGTGGTGGCTGCTTCGGTTGTGGTTGGTTCGGTGGTGGTTGTTTCAGAGGTGGCTGGTTCGGTGGTGGTTTGCTCAGTGGTGGGTCCTGTGCTGGTTGTTCCAGAAGTACTTGGTTCAGTGGTGGTTGGTCCAGTGGTGGTTGTCCCAGAAGTAGTTGCCTCGGTGGTGGCTGGTCCGGTGGTGGTTGGTTCAGTGGTGGTTGGTTCGGTGGTGGTTGTTCTAGAAGTGGTTGATTTGATGGTGGTTGCTTCACTGCTGGCTGTTCCAGAAGTGGTTGGTTCGGTTGTGGTTTCCTCAGTGGTGGTTGGTCCTGTGCTGGCTGTTCCAGAAGTCGTTGGTTCTGTGGTTGAACCTGTAGTGGTTGGTTCGGTGGTGATTGGTTCAGTGGTGGTTTTACCAGAAGTGGTTGGTTCGGTGGTTGTTGCTCCAGGTGTGGTTGATTCGGTGGTGGTTGCTTCGGTTGTGGTTGGTCCAGTGGTAGTTGGTCCGGTGCTGGTTGTTCCAGATGTGCTTGTTTCGGTGGTGGTTGGTTTACTGGTGGTTGTTTCGGAAGTGGTTGGTTTGATGGTGGTTGCTTCGGTTGTGGTTGGTCCCGTGGTGGTTGTTCCAGAGGTGGCTGGTTCGGTGGTCGTTTGCTCAGTGGTGGGTCCTGTGCTGGTTGTTCCAGAAGTACTTGGTTCGGTGGTGGTTGGTCCAGTGGTGGTTATTCCAGAAGTGGTTGTTTCAGTGGTGGTTGGTTCACTGGTGGTTGTTCCAGAGGTGGTTGGTTCGGTGGTGGCTGCTTCGGTTGTGGTTGGTACGGTGGTGATTGGTTTAATAGTGGTTGTTCCAGAGGCGGCTGGTTCGGTGGTTGTTTGCTCAGTGGTGGGTCCTGTGCTGGTTGTTCCAGAAGAACTTGGTTCAGTGGTGGTTGTCCCAGAAGTGGTTGCTTCGGTGGGGGTTGTTCTAGAAGTGGTTGATTCGATGGTGGTTGCTTCACTGCTGGTTGTTCCAGAAGTAATTGGTTCAGTGGTGGTTGGTCCAGTGGTGGTTGTCCCAGAAGTAGGTGCTTCGGTGGTGGTTGTTCTGGAAGTGGTTGATTCGATGGTGGTTGCTTCACTACTGGTTGTTCCAGAAGTGGTTGATTCGGTTGTGGTATCCTCAGTGGTGGTTGGTCCTGTGCTGGATGTTCCAGAAGTCGTTGGTTCTGTGGTTGAATCTGTAGTGGTTGGTTCGGTGGTGATTGGTTCAGTGGTGGTTGTACCAGAAGTGGTTGGTTCGGCAGTTGTTGCTCCTGGTGTCGTTGATTTGATGGTGGTTGCTTCGGTTGTGGTTGGTCGAGTGGTAGTTGATCTGGTGCTGGTTATTCCAGATGTGCTTGTTTCGGTGGTGGTTGGTATACTGGTGGTTGTTTCGGAAGTGGTTGGTTCGGAGGTGGTTGTTCCAGAAGTACTTGGTTCGGTGGTGGTTGGTCCAGTGGTGGTTGTCCCAGAAGTAGTTGCTTCGGTGGTGGTTGGTCCGGTGGTGGTTGGTTCGGTGGTGGTTGTTCTAGAAGTGGTTGATTCGATGGTGGTTGCTTCACTGCTGGTTGTCCCAGAAGTGGTTGCTTCGGTGGTGGTTACTTCGGTGGTGGATACTTCGGTTGTGGTTGTTTCGGTGGTGGTTGGTTCGGTGGTGGTTGTTCTAGAAGTGGTTGATTTGATGGTGGTTGCTTCACTGCTGGTTGTTCCAGAAGTGGTTGGTTCGGTGGTGGTTGCATCGGTTGTGGTTGATCCGGTGGTGGTTGTTCCAGAGGTGGCTGGTTCGGTGGTGGTTTGCTCAGTGGTGGGTCCTGTGCTGGTTGTTCCAGAAGTACTTGGTTCGGTGGTGGTTGGTCCAGCGGTGGTTGTTCCAGAAGTGGTTGTTTCAGCGGTGGTTGGTTCACTGGTGGTTGTTTCGGAAGTGTTTGGTTCGGTGGTGGCTGCTTCGGTTGTGGTTGGTCCGGTGGTGGTTGATTCAGTGGTGGTTGTTTCAGAGGTGGCTTGTTCGGAGGTGGTTTGCTCAGTGGTGGGTCCTGTGCTGGTTGTTCCAGAAGTACTTGGTTCAGTGGTGGTTGGTCCATTGGTGGTTGGCCCAGAAGTAGTTGCTTCGGTGGTGGTTGGTCCGGTGGTGGTTGGTTCGGTGCTGGCTGTTCCAGAAGTCGTTGGTTCTGTGGTTGAATCTGTAGTGGTTGGTTCGGTGGTGATTGGTTCAGTGGTGGTTGTACCAGAAGTGGTTGGTTCGGTGGTTGTTGCTCCAGGTGTGGTTGATTCGCTGGTGGTTGCTTCTGTTGTGGTTGGTCCAGTGGTAGTTGATCTGGTGCTGGTTATTCCAGATGTGCTTGTTTCGGTGGTGGTTGGTATACTGGTGGTTGTTTCGGAAGTGGTTGGTTCGGAGGTGGTTGTTCCAGAAGTACTTGGTTCGGTGGTGGTTGGTCCAGTGGTGGTTGTCCCAGAAGTAGTTGCTTCGGTGGTGGTTGGTCCGGTGGTGGTTGTTCCAGAGGTGGCTGGTTCGGTGGTCGTTTGCTCAGTGGTGGGTCCTGTGCTGGTTGTTCCAGAAGTACTTGGTTCGGTGGTGGTTTGCTCAGTGGTGGGTCCTGTGCTGGTTGTTCCAGAAGTACTTGGTTCGGTGGTGGCTGCTTCGGTTGTGGTTGGTCCAGTGGTAGTTGGTCCAGTGCCGGTTGTTCCAGATGTGCTTGTTTCGGTGGTAATTGGTTTACTGGTGGTTGTTTCGGAAGTGGTTGGTTCGGTGGTGGTTGCTTCGGTTGTGGTTGGTCCGGTGGTGGTTGTTCCAGAGGTGGCTGGTTCGGTGGTCGTTTGCTCAGTGGTGGGTCCTGTGCTGGTTGTTCCAGAAGTACTTGGTTCGGTGGTGGTTTGCTCAGTGGTGGGTCCTGTGCTGGTTGTTCCAGAAGTACTTGGTTCGGTGGTGGTTGGTCCAGTGGTGGTTGCAGAAGTGGTTGTTTCAGTGGTGGTTGGTTCACTGGTGGTTGTTCCGGAAGTGGTTGGTTCGGTGGTGGCTGATTCGGTTGTGGTTGGTACGGTGGTGATTGGTTCAATAGTGGTTGTTCCAGAAGTACTTGGTTCAGTGGTGGTTGGTCCAGTGGTGGTTGTCCCAGAAGTAGTTGCTTCGGTGGTGGTTGTTCTAGAAGTGGTTGATTCGATGGTGGTTGCTTCACTGCTGGTTGTTCCAGAAGTGGTTGGTTCGGTGGTGGTTGGTCCAGTGGTGGTTGTTCCAGAAGTGGTTGGTTCGGTGGTGGCTGCTTCAGTTGTGGTTGGTACGGTGGTGATTGGTTCAATAGTGGTTGTTCCAGAGGTGGCTGGTTCGGTGGTGGTTACTTCGGTTGTGGTTGTTTCGGTGGTGGTGGGTCCTGTGCTGGTTGTTCCAGAAGTACTTGGTTCAGTGGTGGTTGGTCCAGTGGTGGTTGTCCCAGAAGTAGTTGCTTCGGTGGTGGTTGTTCTAGAAGTGGATGATTCGATGGTGGTTGCTTCACTGCTGGTTGTTCCAGAAGTGGTTGGTTCGGTTGTGGTTTCCTCAGTGGTGGTTGGTCCTGTGCTGGCTGTTCCAGAAGTGGTTGCTTCGGTGGTGGTTACTTCGGTTGTGGTTGTTTCGGTGGTGGTTGGTTCGGTGGTGGTTGTTCTAGAAGTGGTTGATTGGATGGTGGTTGCTTCACTGCTGGTTGTTCCAGAAGTGGTTGGTTCGGTGGTGATTGCTTCGGTTGTGGTTGATCCGGTGGTGGTTGTTCCAGAGGTGGCTGGTTCGGTGGTGGTTTGCTCAGTGGTGGGTCCTGTGCTGGTTGTTTCAGAAGTACTTGGTTCGGTGGTGGCTGCTTCGGTTGTGGTTGGTCCAGTGGTAGTTGGTCCGGTGCTGGTTGTTCCAGATGTGCTTGTTTCGGTGGTGGTTGGTTTACTGGTGGTTGTTTCGGAAGTAGATGGTTCGGTGGTGGTTGCTTCGGTTGTGGTTGGTCCGGTGGTGGTTGTTCCAGAGGTGGCTGGTTCGGTGGTCGTTTGCTCAGTGGTGGGTCCTGTGCTGGTTGTTCCAGAAGTACTTGGTTCGGTGGTGGTTGGTCCAGTGGTGGTTGTTCCAGAAGTGGTTGTTTCAGTGGTGGTTGGTTCACTGGTGGTTGTTCCGGAAGTGGTTGGTTCGGTGGTTGTTGCTCCAGGTGTGGTTGATTCGGTGGTGGTTACTTCGGTTGTGGTTGGTCCAGTGGTAGTTGGTCCGGTGCTGGTTGTTCCAGATGTGCTTGTTTCGGCGGTGGTTGGTTTACTGGTGGTTGTTTCGGAAGTGGTTGGTTTGGTGGTGGTTGCTTCGGTTGTGGTTGGTTCGGTGGTGGTTGTTCCAGAGGTGGCTGGTTCGGTGGTCGTTTGCTCAGTGGTGGGTCCTGTGCTGGTTGTTCTAGAAGTACTTGGCTCGGTGGTGGTTGATCCAGTGGTGGTTATTCCAGAAGTGGTTGCCTCAGTGGTGGTTGGTTCACTGGTGGTTGTTCCGGAGGTGGTTGGTTCGGTGGTGGCTGCTTCGGTTGTGGTTGGTACGGTGGTGATTGGTTCAATAGTGGTTGTTCCAGAGGTGGCTGGTTCGGTGGTGGTTTGCTCAGTGGTGGGTCCTGTGCTGGTTGTTCCAGAAGTACTTGGTTCAGTGGTGGTTGGTCCAGTGGTGGTTGTCCCAGAAGTAGTTGCCTCGGTGGTGGTTGGTCCGGTGGTGGTTGGTTCACTGGTGGTTGGTTCGGTGGTGGTTGTTCTAGAAGTGGTTGATTCGATGGTGGTTGCTTCACTGCTGGCTGTTCCAGAAGTGGTTGGTTCGGTTGTGGTTTCCTCAGTGGTGGTTGGTCCTGTGCTGGCTGTTCCAGAAGTCGTTGGTTCTGTGGTTGAACCTGTAGTGGTTGGATCGGTGGTGATTGGTTCAGTGGTGGTTTTACCAGAAGTGGTTGGTTCGGTGGTTGTTGCTCCAGGTGTGGTTGATTCGGTGGTGGTTGCTTCGGTTGTGGTTGGTCCAGTGGTAGTTGGTCCGGTGCTGGTTGTTCCAGATGTGCTTGTTTCGGTGGTGGTTGGTTTACTGGTGGTTGTTTCGGAGGTGGTTGGTTTGATGGTGGTTGCTTCGGTTGTGGTTGGTCCCGTGGTGGTTGTTCCAGAGGTGGCTGGTTCGGTGGTCGTTTGCTCAGTGGTGGGTCCTGTGCTGGTTGTTCCAGAAGTACTTAGTTCGGTGGTGGTTGGTCCAGCAGTAGTTGTTCCAGAAGTGGTTGTTTCAGTGGTGGTTGGTTCACTGGTGGTTGTTCCGGAAGTGGTTGGTTCGGTGGTGGCTGCTTCGGTTGTGGTTGGTACGGTGGTGATTGGTTCAATAGTGGTTATTCCTGAGGTGGCTGGTTCGGTGGTTGTTTGCTCAGTGGTGGGTCCTGTGCTGGTTGTTCCAGAAGAACTTGGTTCAGTGGTGGTTGTTCCAGAAGTGGTTGCTTCGGTGGGGGTTGTTCTAGAAGTGGTTGATTCGATGGTGGTTGCTTCACTGCTGGTTGTTCCAGAAGTGGTTGGTTCGGTTGTGGTTTCCTCAGTGGTGGTTGGTCCTGTGCTGGCTGTTCCAGAAGTCGTTGGTTCTGTGGTTGGTTCTGTAGTGGTTGGTTCGGTGGTGATTGGTTCAGTTGTGGTTGTACCAGAAGTGGTTGGTTCGGCGGTTGTTGCTCCAGGTGTGGTTGATTCGGTGGTGGTTGCTTCGGTTGTGGTTGGTCCAGTGGTAGTTGATCCGCTGCTGGTTGTTCCAGATGTGCTTGTTTCGGTGGTGGTTGGTATAATGGTGGTTGTTTCGGAAGTGGTTGGTTCGGGGGTGGTTGTTCCAGAAGTACTTGGCTCGGTGGTGGTTGGTCCAGTGGTGGTTGTTCCAGAAGTAGTTGCTTCGGTGGTGGTTGGTCCGGTGGTGGTTGGTTCGGTGGTGGTTGGTCCGGTGGTGGTTGGTTCGGTGGTGGTTGTTCTAGAAGTGGTTGATTCGATGGTGGTTGCTTCACTGCTGGTTGTCCCAGAAGTGGTTGCTTCGGTGGTGGTTACTTCGGTGGTGGATACTTCGGTTGTGGTTGTTTCGGTGGTGGTTGGTTCGGTGGTGGTTGTTCTAGAAGTGGTTGATTCGATGGTAGTTGCTTCACTGCTGGTTGTTCCAGAAGTGGTTGGTTCGGTGGTAGTTGCATCGGTTGTGGTTGATCCGGTGGTGGTTGTTCCAGAGGTGGCTGGTTCGGTGGTGATTTGCTCAGTGGTGGGTCCTGTGCTGGTTGTTCCAGAAGTACTTGGTTCGGTGGTGGTTGGTCCAGCGGTGGTTGTTCCAGAAGTGGTTGTTTCAGTGGTGGTTGGTTCACTGGTGGTTGTTCTGGAAGTGGTTGGTTCGGTGGTGGCTGCTTCGGTTGTGGTTGGTCCGGTGGTGGTTGATTCAGTGGTGGTTGTTCCAGAGGTGGCTGGTTCGGTGGTGGTTTGCTCAGTGGTGGGTCCTGTGCTGGTTGTTCCAGAAGTACTTGGTTCAGTGGTGGTTGGTCCAGTGGTGGTTGTCCCAGAAGTAGTTGCTTCGGTGGTGGTTGGTCCGGTGGTGGTTGGTTCGGTGGTGGTTGCTCTAGAAGTGGTTGATTCGACGGTGGTTGCTTCACTGCTGGCTGTTCCAGAAGTGGTTGGTTCGGTTGTGGTTTCCTCAGTGGTGGTTGGTCCTGTGCTGGCTGTTCCAGAAGTCGTTGGTTCTGTGGTTGGTTCGGTGGTGATTGGTTCAGTGGTGGTTTTCCCAGAAGTGGTTGGTTCGGTGGTTGTTGCTCCAGGTGTGGTTGATTCGGTGGTGGTTGCTTCGGTTGTGGTTGGTCCAGTGGTAGTTGGTCCGGTGCTGGTTGTTCCAGATGTGCTTGTTTCGGTGGTGGTTGGTTTACTGGTGGTTGTTTCGGAAGTGGTTGGTTCGGTGGTGGTTGCTTCGGTTGTGGTTGGTCCGGTGGTGGTTGTTCCAGAGGTGGCTGGTTCGGTGGTCGTTTGCTCAGTGGTGGGTCCTGTGCTGGTTGTTCCAGAAGTACTTGGTTCGGTGGTGGTTGGTCCAGTGGTGGTTGTTCCAGAAGTGGTTGTTTCGGTGGTGGTTGTTCTAGAAGTCGTTGATTCGATGGTGGTTGCTTCACTGCTGGTTGTTCCAGAAGTGGTTGGTTCCGTTGTGGTTTCGTCAGTGGTGGTTGGTCCTGTGCTGGCTGTTCCAGTAGTGGTTGCTTCGGTGGTGGTTACTTCGGTGGTGGTTACTTCGGTTGTGGTTGTTTCGGTGGTGGTTGGTTCGGTGGTGGTTGTTCTCGAAGTGGTTGATTCGATGGTTGTTGCTTCACTGCTGGTTGTTCCAGAAGTGGTTGGTTCGGTTGTGGTTGATCCGGTGGTGGTTGTTCCAGAGGTGGCTGGTTCGGTGGTGGTTTGCTCAGTGGTGGGTCCTGTGCTGGTTGTTCCAGATGTACTTGGTTCGGTGGTGGTTGGTCCAGTGGTGGTTGTTCCAGAAGTAGTTGCTTCGGTGGTGGTTGGTCCGTTGGTGGTTGTTCCAGAGGTGGCTGGTTCGGTGGTGGTTTGCTCAGTGGTTGGTCCTGTGCTGGTTGTTCCAGAAGTACTTGGTTCGGTGGTGGTTGGTTCAGTAGTGGACGATCCGTTGGTGGTTGTTGCAGAAGTGGTTGGCTCTGTAGTAGTTGATGCAGTGGTAGTTGATTGAGTAGTTGTTGGCTCAGTAGTCGTTGGTTCAGTGGTCGCTGGCTCAGTAGATGTTGGTTCAGTGGTCGTTGGCTCGGTGGTGACCGGCTCTGTTGGCGCCGCGGTGACTGTGGTGGCCACTGTCGATATGGTCGTCAGGGCCTCGCTGAGCGCCGCCAGCCGCTCGTCCATGAGCTGCACCTGCTGCTGGATCTGCTCGATCAGGTCGGTGGACGTCCCTCCGCGGACGGACAGCGCCGTCTCCAGGGTGGCCGCCCAGGCTGCCGGACACAGCACGCAACCCTTCAGTCCCACATCAGGTCATGGGCAAAACTAGCCAAAAACCATACAGGGTGCTCGAGCTTAGCGCTCACCATGTTCATTAGTACCTAAATATACAACTAAGGCAGGTAGGCCTCGAACACTGCTGGTCCATGGTGTGTCGTTTCGGGAACTAGCGAATGAAGTTTAGTACCGCCGTTCACCGGTGGATGGCGCTAGCTGGTAGTTTCGGCGAAAACTCCGTCTGAGATGTTTGAAGGCTTCCCTTAATCCTTTGTTCAAACATGGACCCCGTCAGCCCCGGCAGAGGTATTTGTCCAGTGTACACCGCACCTGAGGATGGGTCAGCTGAGGGAGGGGAGTCACTATTGTGGCCTGAGGAATGCCGCACCGGTCGGGGAATGGGGTCGGGAGGAGGGGGGGGGGGAGGCAGCGCCGTTCTTGCGGTGACGGGCTGGCTTGTCGCCTGGCTACGCTCAGCCGGCGAGGCGCCGCGCGTGACCCGGGAGCAGCTGAGAGTCCATATAGACAATTGGCCCGTTTGTAAGCACGAACACTTGGAATATTGCTGGTGCAGAATTTTAGCATAGGCACGTTTTTTTTTTTTGCCAAATTTTGTGTAGGTAGGTACATGTAGGGAATTGGTAGAAGTTTATTGTGACAAGGTTTCCAAAAAAAAAAATCGTTCAATTTTTTTTTTTTAGATATCGAGGTTTTAGTGACGTCATGATTGGAGTTTTCGACAAAAAAACGACACGTTTAAAAATCATAGGTGTAAATCACAGAATAGACATACAGACATGCCGTAAACGTCATTGGACTGCCAATAGGTACCATGAACAATCAAATTGCCATCTTGATCTTCGATTTCTGATTACCTATCGCTCTACGGTTTCCAAACTATTGAACGGAATCTTGACAATTTCTCGTGACTACTTCACGAGTTCACGACCATGATGCATTTCATAACCTGCATCCCGCTGGGGGTCCTGGAATTACACGCCCTGCAGGTGGGCGGGGGTGTTTGAACACCCCCCTTTGAACTCGGCTCCTGGGCCATGTAGCGATACGGGGAAAGCGACATTCGAAAAAGCGTAAGGAATAATGGCGAAATTACTTAGGTCACTTTTCGGTCAGGTCAAAGGTCAGGTCCTGGTCACCAGAGGTGTTTTGGACCTATGCTGCTGGAAGCCCAATTTCATGTGTTTGACCTGACCTTGACCAGACCTGTGACCTTGAAATTCAACTTTCAGGTACTCATCGGAAGTGTCTCGTCGCGTTCTTCGTTTGCCTCTCGTCCGTTTTGCTGCGTCTATTGGTTCTTTAGTTATCGGCTGGGTAGCTGCATTGGTTCCCGAGTTGTGCGCCGCTTTTTTGAAGAAAAAACGTTGACCTAGGCAAAATTTGACCTTTGGCGACTTGATCTTTTGACTTAAAAAACGATTAACTATTTTCTTCATTATTTTGACGCTGTTTTGAATGCCACTTACCGCGTGTCACCACGTGGCCCAGGAGCCGAGTTAGACGTGTGAAAACGCCCCCTCCCCCTCAGCACGACACGGAAAACTATGACCATCAGCACGGCGCGGGTTAACTTGACAGTTGAGCTTATCCGCCCCCTTCTAGCCAAACGCTCATCCACTGTTTTAGCCTACGTCAGGGGAGCTGAGGACGCCGAGACCCCGGACCTGGTGGCTGCCCTGGCCCCTGAGGCAGATTGATGCCAAGTTGCATGCTATCGAGGACATCAACGATGTACCGGGTCAATTTTATTTCGCCGCCGACCTGAATATTATATGGATGGTGTTGGTCTGGCAGGGGGTTTGAGTGACTTTCTCTGTGGCCATACTGTACTGTTTGCCCGAGAGCTACAGTGGCGTTACAGAGGGCAATATTTTTATTATTACCCCTTCCCACACAGTATTCATTTTATTACATTGCCGGTGATGGCCCATCCCAACACGCTGATAAATATCGTTAAATATGTCGACGCTCAGAAGAAAAATGACCAAAGATTCAGACGCGCGGATTGCTATTGGTAGTTGTCATGGACTAACAAAAAATATGTAATCCCTCAGAATGAATAATATATTGGTGAGAAACCGTCAAGTGCCCCAAGGTACGGTTCCCTTTTTGGTGAATAACTTCGCAAAAAACGGCCGCAGAGCCGCGATGTTGGCACTTAGCAGCATCGTGTTTGCCTCGCTCAGGCGCGTCGAATGGTATACTTTTTGTTTGGGTTGTACGGAACTAGATAATACTAGGGTTACCCGCGTGCTCCGCAACGCGAAGAAGGGTTATTTTTGACTCGTGGGTATTGGGGTGGTCTGTGTCGATTTGGTTGGCATCCATTTCGTTCGATTGCTTTTTGACGGCCAAGCATTTTGTAATAAAACAAAAAAGATGCTTCGCATCGAGGTGCCCGTGTCGTATTATCATGCGTTCTACTTTAGAATGATTCGAAAACTGGCGTGAAGTCTTTTGAGGGCCATCGATGAATTTCGCTAAAAATGACAATGTAATGGTTCGGAATATTTACATTTTTAAGGATACTGTTGCTAATCATGCAAAAATGAAGAGTGAATATTGGACAGAATTGAATGCTCTATCCAATGGTACCATATTCAATTGCCAAAGGTATCAGGTTATGCAGCAAACCCCGTGTGATTAATAAAGTGGCACAAAATTGACAAACACCATTTTCTCCTGTGATTTGCACCACCGTGATTTGGATCAATCGGCTTTTCACAATTTTTATATGAGAGGCGGTACCTTTTTCTTGCAAATAGGCGTTGATTCAACTCGCTCCATTTAACGGTCACCTAAAAATAAAATTAATTCCAAAATCCCTCAAAAACCGCAATTTTTCAAATAAAAGTGCCCTCTCCGGTGCACGTGGCGCGTGCTATCCTCTGCATTGCACACCATTCAATAGCCCGTTCAATTCTGTACACGATGCTGTTTTCCCCGTGCCGGTCGGACCCCTGGTCACCAAGATATTGCGCCGGGACCGGACCCGTGTCGGCCAAAATTAGCCGTTTTCGCCCGGTTTCGCACGCCGATTTATACATGTAAAGTCTATGACGCGAATTTGCACTTTTTGAGCACGCGCCACGCGCCCCTTATCAATCCGATCGAGCTGAAACCCCTCAAAGGCACGTCGCGCATCCTTGATCTATAAGTTGTGCAAATTTCACCGGGCTAGGTGCAACGGTCTGGCCTGTAGTCCACGCAAAGCAGCACCAAGTCGGGACCTCGGTAACGGACAGACGCACCCTCCTCAAATAGTAATATAGATTGCTCTTGGAACCGCTGATCACCCCCAGGAATGGCGCTATGATGTCGGAATTCGTTTACAGCCCAACTACTACATGAAATACAACTTTTTAAACGGAAATAAAGTTAACCATTTTCTAATGAAATCCGGCCACGTTTTATTAACCTTTGCCCGAGTGGCGGGGCGGAGGGAGGAGGCGTTTCGGCCACACCTGCCAGTTTTTTTGCGCGTGCAACGAAATTTTGTATAGCTTATCATACATCAATTCCTCATCGTGTGTGAAGATGCTGACCCCAAGTCACGTAAGGTCAGGTCACCAGGTCAACTTAAGTAACCATACCTCTAAAAAGCTTCGTGGTTCTGTCATTCCTACAGTGTACATCCCAGAAGTTTGAAACTCGTTTCAAACTTTCAAACCTTTGCATGAGGAAATCAGTATGAACAATTCGTATATCTCGGAAGTTTCATATCGGTGACCTAAGGTCAGCTAAATTTTGCGACCTCTCCATTATAAGTCAATGGGGAAAATTGAAATGCTCTTTGTTTGGCCGAAAACAACCTCTAACATCGTGACATAGGTAAGCATGACACACTGAACCGGAACATTGTACCTGTGACCACTTGTATGCCCGTGAGGTCATCTCAGATCATGAAACGTTACTAACAGCTTTTTGACAATAACTTTAGATAGAAACATGCTAGAGCGCTGAAAACACCATAAATGTGTTCTGTTCAGCAATAGGAGTCGAATGACATGCAAACATGACCTTTTCAGTGATTTGACCTGAGATCAAATTTTCAAGTTGACCTTTTCAGGTCAAGTTATAGTTCATTCGACGCGTCTCGACGAGAAAAAAAACGCGATGCCGGTAAAATCAGCGTCATGCAAGCTTGGAGTTTAAAGTTATGACACGAAAACCTTTTCCGAAAAACGTCCTATTTTGATAGTTTTTGCTCTGTGGAGGCAAAACCGTTGAGCTTAGGTCAAATCCGAGGGATTAATCAGAACGGCTTTTGAAAGAGCTATCTAATGCGTTCTTCGACAGCGCTGTAGCTCTATTAGTTCCCGACTTATGCGCCGATTTGTGAGAAGTTGTCAAGATCGGGTGCAACAGTCGTGAAAATTTTATCTTTAGTGACCTCTAGTGACTTCAGCGATAACCTGATCAAAAAATGACCTAAGTGATTCTGAAAGATCTTGCAGCGAGCTATCTATTGCTTTTACTGTGTCTTTCTAGCTTGCTTACTTTCGAGGTAATCTGGTGCGGCCAAAAAGCCCCCCCCCCCACCCCCACCATGGCAAAGTTGGCATGAGAGGCCCACTCGGGCGCGGGTTAATAGTGAATAAAGCTACGAGGGGGAAAATTTTGACATTTGTCCTCGAGTTAATTCTACCCATGACGAATGAATACAGACTAGCCCTCGCCCTGGCAGGGCATTTTTCATAACACGGCCTGGCAGGGGGGGTCGATGCGACCCCCCCCCTCGCGATTGGCTCCTATGGCACCTAGAAACACCAAATTTGGTAGGTAGGTGGGCCCCCTAGAGTTATCGCCCCTGTGCAAATTTGGTTGCTCTAGGTCAATATTTAGGGGGGTTTTTGGGGGCATAAATGTAAAAATTTCGCTAAAAACAGGTCAAAAGTTTTTCGCTTATAACTTTTGATCTAATTAAGATAGAGCGAAAAGAAAAACACCAGTGTTCTCAGCACGTCAAGGCGCG